TCCTGCAAAGTTTATCCAGATTCATAACACCTTCCATGTGTCCCAGCTGAGGAAGTGTGTAGCCGACGAGACGACAGTAATCCCTTTAGAGGACATTCAGGTTGATGATCGCTTGAACTACATTGAGAAGCCAGTACAGATTTTGGATAAGAAGGTGAAGGTCTTGAGGAATTAAGAGGTGTCTTTGGTTAAGGTTCAATGGCAACATAGGAAGGGATCTGAGTGGACTTGGGAGTAGGAGTCCGAGATGCGTGAGCAGTACCCAAAGTTGTTTCTGGGGGACGTCTTCGAGGGGGAAGTCTGATTCTAGTGGGGGGGAATTGTAACATCCTGACTCCCTGGTATAATATTTAATTAATTATATTCATTTTGACAGGGTAACTCGACGAGTTTGAGGCCCCAAGTAGAGATCGAGAGGGCCGCATGAATTTTAGAGTCAACTCGATGAGCTGGAGGACCCCAACTCGACAAATTGGAGCTGCATGAGAAAACCCTAAATTTCAGGGTTTGCACCCTATTTAAAGGACCTTAAGCCCATTATTCTACCTCCCTCATCACCTTAACACGCTGAGAGAAACCCTAATCAAGCTATTATCATCTCAGAGAGAGAGAGAGAGAGAGAGAGAGAGACTAAGATTGTATGTTTTAGTGCATTCTTGGAAGGAGTTTGAGGAGCAAAAGGCTGGGAACGAGAAGGAGCCCTTGGATCTAGTATTCTTTCAGTGCTAGCTACCATTTGGAGGTAAAAAGCTATCACCTTGACCATTTGTTGATTAGATATCTTCCCTAGGGAGTTTAGGGCCATTTCGATCTTCTCTTTTAGTCCTTTAGTTGTTTGAGCCTGCCTTGAAGATGAGACTTTAGATTTGGACAATACTAGGTCCCTTGGGCCTAATAATTTAAGCTTTATCAAGCTATTGACCAACTTTCATGCATTAAACCTTCTATTGAGTTTTGGGTTGGCAAACTTATCCCTAGATGCCATGCATGAACGTAAAGCTTGCAACTTTATGTGGTATTTCAGCCTAAGAAGACTAGATCTAGAGTATGGGACCTTAGTTCTGCTTAAAAACATCTGAATGAGAGAATGGACTGAAGGGACTCGACGAGTTGATGAGCCAACTTGACGAGTTGGTTAAGGTTTTCCCCGATAGTCTGGACGTGATACAAACTCGACGAGTTGGCGAGACAACTCGGCGAGTTGAGTTGGATTTTCCTGATATTTCAGAGAAATGAAGGAACACGACGAGTCACATAGATGCACTCGACGAGTTGGGTCAACATGGACTGCTGACTTGAGTGTTGACTTCCGTTGACTTTTTTTAGGGTTTGGTCAAGTCATGGATTATGGAGACCATGGAGGGGTAAAATGGTCTTTCACCCTTTCCGAGAAAAAGAAGTTATCTTAACATCTTGAGATTGTTATTATGATTGTTAAGTAGAGGTGATTATGTATATGTAGGCGGAGTCTAGAACTATTATTCAGTACGAGACATTCTTGTTCTACCTACGAGGTGAGTCTTCTCACTATACTTACCTGATTGGTAATACTATGTGACCGGAGGGTCTTAATTGAGTTATTAACTAGAGGGTCTTATGTGCTTATACTGAGTTATGTGATCTCATGCATTTTGCCTTTGTGATTTATGTTATATATTATTTTGTGCCTATTGAGTCGGGACCGGAGGGTCCAAACCGAGCTGTGAGACTGGAGGATCTTCACTAAAATACAGGACCGGGGGTCTTCACAAACCGAGCTGTGAGATCGGAGGGTCTTCACTGAGACACATGACCAGAGGGTCCTTATCGAGTTATAGCCATGAGAGGCTAATTATGTGTGTGTGGTATTTTGGGGAACTCACTAAGCTTCGTGCTTACAATGTTGTGTGAAATGTGTTTCAGGCACCTCTCAGGATCGTGGGAAGGCGCCGACTTGATTGTACACACCAGCTAGAGATTATGTTTTTGAGGATTTTGGGATGTTGTCTAACATTTTTTGTCTTGTGTTTTGAACAACTTATAAACTTGGGATTTGAGAAATGTGAAATTGTGTTTTGTGTGGTTTTTAAAAAATGAGAATTTATTTGAAATTTTTGAGCATTACAACATACGAACTCCGTTCTTGATGTTCTTATATCGATAGAATCCTATTGACAAGATCTACAACTCTCACTTATATTATATTTCCTAATATTCTACCATTCTAAAATTCGATTTTTGTATCGCGTACTACTATACCCGGTTGCAAGGAAACTTCAAAAAAATCATATATATTTCATATGGAGTCGGATTTAGGCATTCTTTATATGCACAGTCTCGGTTTAACGACTACTATGATTTTCCTTTAGATATTTTAGGCTAAAAGTTATTTATCAAAAAATCACTTTTTACGATACACAAAGTCATGTCGGTTTAATTGTGAAACTTTGAAGAAGCATAACTTCTTCATGAGAAGTCCGATTTGGGCGTTCTATATATCTATGGAAATCGTATCGACGTTTCCTACATGTTTGTGAAAATTATTTTGGCTCAAGAGTAATATATTTCTACTTCGAATTTTATAAACAATGGTTTGTATCGAATCCTACATAACGGTAAAAATAGGGTGTTACAAAGCACATCGTGCTTGGTTTGAGAAATTCTCCACAGTGATTACCTATCTTGGATTTTTCAAAAGTAATCATGATTGGATTTTGTTTTTTAGATGCTCGATTTCATGAAAAATTCTTTTGTCCTTATATGTGGGTGACATGATTATTATTGGTGATGACCATGGTGGTATTGAGTCTTTGAAACATGATCTAGCTTATTGATTTGCTATGAAGGATTTGGGCTTGCTACATTATTTCTTAGGTATTAAGGTAGCTTAGTCTAAGAAAGGGTATCTTCTTTATTAGACTAAATATTGATCTGACTTCGTTACACGGGTGGGCCTCTCTCACATTCGGCCTGTAGATACTCCTCTTGAAACCAATGCACTGTACTCTCTTACTAATGGTGTTCCTTTGTCAGATCTGAATCTTTACCAGACTATCGTGGGAAGTTTGGTTTATCTCATAGTTACTCATCCGGATATTACCCATGTTGTTCATGTTGTCAGTCATATTGTTACTGCTCCTACATCTGTTAATTAGGGAGTTGTACTCCATATTCGGAGATATCTTCGTAACACTCAGTTTCAAACTCTCTTGTTTCCCTTGACGCATTCTCTTGAGTTACATGCCTATAATGATGTTGATTGGGATGGATGTTGATTGGGATGGCGATCGTCATGATCGTAAATCTACCACTGAATTTTGTGTGCTTCTTAGAGAGTCTCTCATTTCATGGAAGAGCAAGAAACATGATGTTGTCTTTAGATCTTCCACAAAGGTTGAGTATCGTGCTATGGATGTGACTACATGCAAGATTATCTGGTTACAATGGCTTCTTGCGGATACGAGGGTTCATATTTCTTCACCTACTCCCCTGTATTGTGATAACAAAAGAGCAATATAGATTGAGAATAATTATGTTTTCCATGAGCGGACGAAGCATATTGAGATTGATTGTCACTTCACCCGTCATCACTTATAGCTCATAACCATATCACTTTTGTTTGTTTCATCAATCTTGCAGCTTGCAGATATTTTTACAAAGGCTCTATCGGCATCTCGGTTTCGTTTTTTGTGTGACAAATTCTCAATGCTTATAGTTGTGACATTCTGAGTTTGAGAGGGAGGGGGGGGGGGGTGTTAGTCTATATGTTGTTAGCTTACATGTTTATGAGTTCTTTAGCCTTTAACGCATTAGGGTTTGGTCTTAGCTAGTATTTATTCCCCATTTTTTTTTTGTAGATCTTATGATTTTCTACCTAGAACACTTATAATTTCTCTCTTTCAATAAGAATATGCTCTTTATTATCCATCATAAAGAATACAAATATTATTAATACTTATACCTAGAAAAAATATATGAAAAAAAAATTGTTTTGGTTAAAAATGAATAATTTCCAATCAACCAAATTGTATGAGAGACTGTGATGTTAAGGATAAAGTAAGTATAAGATGATGATCAAAGTGACACAAGTGATTTACAAGGAAATCTCTTGATCATTGCTATAATCTCCGACATAAAACCTTGGGAGGTGATAATGTTCACCTGCATTGACGATTTTATTAATTAAAAATGTTGATTACAAAGATGAATATATAAATGTAAGTACAAGTCTCGTAGATAAGCTAAGCGTCGTGTGTTGTGTGATGAATACAAGTGTTATTTATAGTCTAAAGTTAATAACAAGAAGTCTAATAATTTTGGAATCCTCCGAGATCAATTTATAGACATTATTTGACTTGGTATTTCGGGTCTTTTGCCTAGTCAAGATAATTCTTTGTTTGAGAACAAGTCTTTAGCTCATTATTTCCGCACATGTGATATAAATAAAAAAGAACATAACCATTATATATATTAGGAAATAAATAATAATAATTAAGGATCCTAAGATGTGTTTAAAGGTGTTGCTAATAAAACACTTCTTAGACACCCTATAATCATTTTTATAAAAAGTCAACTACATGTAATCAACTTTTTTCGGAAAATAATGCAATTTCAACCAATAAAAATATTCCAACATTAATTAGGGTTGTCTAAATAGTAAAATAGAGTGTCTTTCTAAATGTAATTTTGAGATCTAGCCTGCCAAATACAAACACAAAGAGTAATTGATTAGAAATGGATTGCGGAAATAACGTGGATATCGTTCGTCTATCATTTTTAGAACTTTTGTTATAATTAGTTTTAATTAAACATTCTAAGTATTTTATCACATGCTATACTTTTCACATTGTAGACTTATGCGTTTTGGATTAATTTTAATTTAATTATTGCACCTCAAATGCAAAAGCTAAGTTACAGAAAAATTAAATCTCTCTTTTAATACTATGAATTTATTATCAATAGATTATTTAACAAAGGGACTGGATTTTTAATTTACTTTTTCATAAATAAAAATGTTTTCGGTATGTTGGTGCAGTTTAAATCACCGAATAAGAACATTTTGAAGGGCGCCAAATTCCTTATTCCTTGCTCTCACAGTCTCACTCACAGGCCTTGAAACTCTAAAAATGTCGCCAACAAAATCGAGATCCAGGAAGAAGAAGATCACTGAATCCGGAACTCCGAAAACAGAGATCAAACGTACGATGGTGGAAGAAGATGTTTTCAACTTCGATGCTAATCAATTGAAGCAGCGAGCTCCGAAGAAACAACGGTCGACCTTTGAAGACGATTTCGATGCCGATATATCTAGGTAAATTCTCAGTTTCAATCTAAAATATGGACGACGCGTCCAGTTGATAGTGAACAGGGTTTAATCGAAACTGATTAAGTTTAGTAGTTCAATTGCAATGACTTGGTGTAGTGTTGCTTATTTTCTGCATATAAGTAATAAACATCAAATTATCTGTAGATTTTTGAGTTCGTACAACTTGTTTATGGAAATTTGCAGTGATATAAAAGGTTTGATGAACGCATTACATCAGATCAAAGAGAAAGCGCAAAAGGACGGACAGAAGAAAAAAGAGGAGACTATTTCGAGGTGATCTCTTCCATTTGCTTAGGTCTTAATTCTGTTTATAACCGATGCCGCTAGAGCATGATTGCTAGAGAATGACGAATCGATCTATTTAACCTTGTGAGGTTTTCTATAAAGTTTATCAATGTTTTAGCTATCTGGATCTACATAATTAGATAGCTATTGCCTGTTTATAGCAAGTACGTTCTGGTGATTCTGTGTTATGTTCTTGGATACGATCATTCATCGTGATTTGTAGCAAAGATGATGATTCATTATCTGGTTTAATTAGATCGCAATTGTTTTTATTTCTGTAACGTAATTGTTCTTCCATGAATGAGAAGGCCTTATGTACTTTCCTTCTTCAATTATGCATATTATCACTTATCAGTGGATACTCACGTATTTCACTACTGTTACTATTTGTTTTACCTAAGATATAATGTGGATACATGCACAATCATAATCACAAGATACAATCCGGATATATGCCCCTGATTCATAAACATTTAGTTTTTATTCATTGATTCTGTAGTTCACGTATCTTCTTCCCATCTATTGTTCTGTTTCACTGAGATTGATATTATTTTGGTTTTCCAACAGTGTTGCTACAGAAATCAGGTCTACATTTGATGAGTTGAAGTCCAAAGTAGAGAAAGAAAGGTGACTGTAATTACCTACTGATGTCTGCTTGAATATCTATCATATAGTCTTGATCAAATACACATTCTTCATCTGTAAATTTCAGGCAAAACTTTGCCAAGGCACTATCAAAGAGCTCAAAAGAGGTTTGCAAAGACAATATCCATCTTAAAACAGTTTACTTGTAATAATTTTGGTTCTCCATGGTTGAATACTTAAAAACACTTATAAATTTGCATACACAGTGTGAGAACATGCTGAAGAATGAAACTACCAAGTTCCAAACAATTTATGAAACTTTCTGCAAGGACAAAAACTCACATCTTCAGGCTCTGAAAGGTACTCAACACTTCTTTATGATAAAACAGACATCTATTGCAAATTAGTCCCTTGATTTTGTGAATTCTTCTACCTTGAATGATTAATTCCTGAGTGTTTGGTTTTATTGCTAAACAGATACCATTTCAAAATATGAAGAAGAGAAGGAGAGATTGTCCATGAGATATGAACAACACAGTAAGCAATCTCCTTCACTTGTCAAATAATTCAATATCAATGTACTTTCATTGATTTGCTTATTATATCATTCTCCTTTAATATCTGAGCACACAGGAAAGAAAGAAAAGAACATGATATCTGAGCATGAGAAGGCTTGTGCAACCAAAATTTCTGAACTTGAGGAATCACTCAAGAAAAAGAAACAGGTTAGAGATTGTTGCTTTATGAATAAATAAATTCGGTTATAAAACAACATTTTCAAAATAAATGTTATAAATTTCATTGCTATAAGTTAAACATGGTGTTTTTGTTTGGTAGGATGACAAAACATTCAGCTTTCTGAGGAAGACTCTAGGCTCATTTCTTGATACTGCTTCTGATGATGAATGAGGTGAAAATTGAAATCTTGTTGCTACTTTTTCTCTCATATGCTAATAATAATCTTAGTGAATTTTAGTTAAAAAAATATGCTTATCTAGATTCTAGTAATCTTACCACTTTGGATATTAAAATCAACCAGAAACTTGTTTGTTTTTATGCAGTTAGGCCTTTAGGGATATAAATTGGATTATATATGGATGTTTAAATTGGGGGTTAAATTGGTCATTGGAGTTTTATGTTAAAAAAGTTTTTTTTTATTATGTGGGTCCACCATTTGTCACATCTCTCTTTTAAAAAGTTTAGAGATTGGCTAGATATCTATTAATCTGATTGTCTGAAAATATAAGGCAAGAAGCAAGATTATTTAGTAAAAAGTTTATTAAATATAAGTTTATGTATTACGTTTATGGATTCATTGATTTTTTTTTGTAAAAGTTTTGACGTATCAAAATAATCATAGTACCCCTAAGGCAAAATACCATTTTCAACCAAAATGTATCGTTCATTTCTAGGGAAAAATACATTAGATAGTAAAGAAAAAATAATCTTACTTTTTATGATTAAGTCATGACTCATGAATCAGATAGCTAAATTGATAATATAATCAAGTTCGTGAGATATTATCGATGGTCGCCAAGATTTTATTGTGGTTGGTTTTAATTTGAAATGGGTCACCACCATTGTATAAAATATATAAGATTATTTATTTTACATCAGTTGGTCACAGCATCTTTAGAGTTTAAGAATTGAAAATGTGCAAAAAAAATATTAGCGACTAAACTGGAAGATTATGAATATTGTTTGCTATTTGACAGACTTTGTGACTTGAAAAAGAAGTTTTTGTTTGGCTAAGAAGAATCCATAATTGTTTCTAAACAAAATGTTTTATATCAAAGTAAATGATCGAATTAGCCTTATTATTATTATTATTATTATTATTATTATTATTATTATTGTCTATTCCATGCATTTTCTGTTAAAACGTGAGCCGAGTTCTCCATTTTTGAGTTATTTCGTTACTTTATTTCTAATAACATCTCCATTTTTTTATAAGTTATTTGGTTATATTCTTTCTAATTATTATGATTAAGCAATATTTCCATATATTAGGACTAAGCACGAGCTCTGCGAACCTAAATGAATCTATACAAAAATATTTATATAATATGATAATATGATACTATTAATTGATACTTTTAAGGCAATATAGTATTATTAATACTATATATACAATAAAAATACAAAAACAAAACATTGGAGTGGTTATTATTAAATGATTTGCATTTAATACAAGCAAAAACAATAAAAATCATCCAAATTTACATTTTATAAGACAAATTCATAGTTTGGTTATACCAAATCAATATATAATTATTAAAGCATAATATATTGGGCACAATTTTTTAGAACTTCAACTTCTAGCTTTTAAGAAAAACTTCATTAAAAAAACAATTTCTAGAAGCTTTTAGCTTGAATTAAACAAAAAACTTTACATCCAAAAAATTATTTCAATTAGCGTTTCACAAAAAAAAACTTTTTTAGATTTTTAACAAATTGATTTAAATACCCTTTAAAATAAATAAATCACATTCATACTTTTTGTAATTATCTTATACGATTAAATATAAATATATTTCAATAATTATGATTCTTTATTTGAAACAAAATATATCTTATATAGATAAATGTAGTTTAACAATCATGATGTTTTTATTTGAAACAACCATATTACCCGATTTTATAATTCATTAATCTTTATCTAACAAATAAATAAATATAATTTATTATATAAATTTACAAACCAAAATTAATATACAATAATATTGTTTCTTTTAGTAAGCCAAAACACTTGGAATATGTAAAAAATGTTTGGTCTAAGTTCTTACAAGATTGAAAAGTTGTGTTACTTTATTTGTAAAAAAATTATCATTGTTTTAACTTCTGATACTTATAGTTTAGAAAAATTAATTTATCATGATTATATTTCAGTTTTAGTTTATATCTATATGTATTTTTATGTGATTTTACATATTTCAAAAGTTTGTAGCTACTTATGTGAGTTTCCAACTATCTCCCACCATCTTCCTACTACTTTTGTTGAATACGACCATTATTAATTGATTTTCGAGTGTGGATAAACTTCCTTTTTAAGATAAGCAACAACATTATTATTGGCAATTCATCCGTTATTATCATTGACTAGAAGCAAAAAAAGAATAACCAAAATATATTAGGCTATTACTAATTTGTCATATTAACGAAAATACACTCAAATGGTCACTGAAGTGTTGAGTATGTAGAGATACCGATGAACGTGTTAAGCCGATCTCGTATTGATCATAAACTATAGAAAAAAGAAATTATGTTCCTTTATAAATAGAGAGTTTGAAATGTACTAAGGTCGAAAGGTGTCATACTTTTTTTTTATCGGCAGTATGCCTACGTGGCACCTTTTACCGATGGTGAGCATCAGTGGTAGAGCCAGGACCAAAGTAAAGGGGTATCCCAATTTTATATTGAAGGTAATCCAAATTTTTATCGAATCCTTAGCTAACCTCAAGTATTGTTATATAAACATGAAGTTGAAATATATTTTGATACTTGAATCAATGTGAGATTCAAAGTAGACATCAAATGAAGTATGAGGATAGCAGACTTATATAATAGACAAAAATGATTGAGTTTACATATGTTTAGCTATTTGTGATAGAATAGTTGGGAAACAAAAAACTAGACAAAGGACATGTAAGGAGAAAGAATTGAACCTGAGAGCTTTACTTCAATAAACCAACACATTAACCAGTAGCTCTCCTATTTGTTTTATGTTATAACTGAAGGAACGCATATATATACATTAATCGAAAAAAAATTAAAAGATTCGTAAACAAAAATTACACTACCGAAATTTTTTTGAGGGGTATCCCGGGCTACCCCGGGATCCCGTTGGATCCGCCTATGGTGAGCATCACCTCCTAGATTTTGTTTTACCGACGGTAATGTGTTGGCGGTGGAAATTCACCGGTGGTAAAAATCAACTTTTTGTGAGTATTGTATGGGTTTTGCCGGTGTTAAAAAAAAAGCCCACACCCTATCAATTTTTAAAAGTTGCAAAATTGGCAAAATGTCAAGGTGTCTATCGGCGAAAACGGTATGATACCATTTAACTTAAATTGTTGGTAAATTAGGGAGAAAATGATTTAGGAGGGTAACCAATTGTTGAGTTTTATTTACATTTGGTCATTTTCCCCTTTTTTTGTACCCAATATACCATTTAACTTGTTATAAGTGTTCACACAAACCATTACAACATGTTATTGAAGGTTTCTGACAAATTCGTCATTTCCGACGACTCTCTGGCCAAACATGAATTTTCCGGCTACTTTTTATTGTAAATGTTTCTCAATTACCGATTAAAACCAAGCAACAGTTATATATTAGATTCAAAAACATAAAGGTTTAATACATATCGATTGAAGGCAACAGACTACTTTGTCTTCTCCACAAACCAACAAGTTTGAAGGGTTCAAAATTCCTCGGTTTAAATAGTTCCAGATTCAATGGTTTAAACTCGAATGGTTCCAGATTCAGTTTTTTCCATGGATGTAGCTTCAAACCCATTTTCCAAATCTAGACCTTTAAATTGAATTCATCCATGGAGTGTATATCAGATCTGAGAAAACAAGCAGGTAAGTGTGTGCGTCGGAAATCGTTCCAAATCATTCTATGTTGTTCTTCAGCTTTGGTTTACGATTTGTGGGGTTTCAAAAATTGTTCCAAGAATAAGAACACATAGAACAAACCATGAACACACATCTGAAACACACATCTAAAGATCTGAAATCAATTTATGTACACAAACCTAGTGAACACAAATATGAGGAACGAATCTGATAAACACAAATCTGATGAATGAATCTAATGAACAAATTTGATAGAACACATTTGATGAACGAATCTAATGAATAAATCTAATAGAACACATCTGATAACGAATCTAATGAACAAATCTTATAGAACACATTTGATGAATTAACGATTTCTAGAACGAATCTAATGAACACATGTTTGAAATCGTTAGAAAATTCATAAATTCACCGGAAAATTCAACTTGACCGGCTAAACCTACAATAGTCGGTCAATAATGATACAGGTGAACACAAACAACAAATTCGAAGGTATATTTGATACAAAAAAAGGGAAAATGATCAAATGTGAACAAACTCAACAATTAGTTACCCTCCTGGATCATTTTCCCTAAATTATGCTATGCTAGATTTATGTACAGTAAAGAATTTGTAAAGCCAACCATTTACGTTACAAAATCGAAGTTATTGTTTCTATTCTATAACATTGCACAAAGAATAAACAAGTTGGAGCTCAAAAACAATAATTAGTTCAAAGCTTTTCTCATATAGTGAGCTAATCTCGGGTCATACTTTGGTTTGGTTTGTTTAGGCTGTTTGACAAATGAATTTAGCTTGAGCAAAGTCGTCGCTTGTTTAGACTTGTTTGACCAACGATTCGAACTTGAGCCGAGCTTGAGTTTGCTTGACAAACGAGTTGAACCTTTGGCTTGTTTGACAAATGAGTCAAATAATCCAAGCTTGAACTTTACATATATGACTTGAAACGATTCAAGTTCAAGCTCAAGCTTTCTAAAATTAAATGAGTCGAGTTCGAGCTTGGTTATGCCAAGTTAAGCTCGACTTGTTTACATCCTTACTTTTAATCTATTTTTCTCTTAACCTACAATAGAGTTTTATTGATTTTCTTCCTAAATCTTCACAGACTTATATATTTCTTTCCTTTTTCGTCCTATACATTCACATGCTTAAATGGATTGTTTCTCAATCTACCAATTTTCTTCCTACACCTCTACATGCTTAAATTGATTTCCTCAAAACTTACAACAAGGTTCATATCAATTTCGTCTAAACATTTTAAGGTGATATACTGATATTCGATTGACGACTTCAATAAAATACGACCTTATTTTGTTAGATTGTGCTACCGGATTTTCTTTATGACAAGTCAAGATGAGAGGATTATTGGCTCTAGAATATTATG